AGGACACTGGCGCTTCTGATGAACTGGGTATATCTGGGGGTCCCCGAGACCACCTCAGGTTAGATAATTCACTAGAACAACCCACAGAACTCAGGAAAACGCTGTGCATATGATTACAATTTCATTGTAAAAAACACAAATCAGGAACAGTCAAATGAAGAGATACACGGAATAAGGTTTGGGGGAGGAAGGCAGAGCTTCTGTGCTCTCTCCTTGTGGAATCAGGTCACGTCAATGTGTTCACCAACTGGGAAGCTCCACTGAGCTTCAGTGTCCAGGGTTTTTATTAGGGTTTCAATATGTATTGAATCATTGGCCTTGTGATTGGACTCCATCTCCCATTTCTCTCTGATTTCCCTGAGTTAAGAGGTTGGGCTGATGTGATGTGGCTCAAAGCCCCAGTTAATCACAATGTTGATCTTTTTGGTGACCAGCCTCCACCTGGAGTCATTTCATCTCAGAGCATCCCTTACTTATTTCTGAGTAACAGACATTCCTATTACTCTGGACATTCCAAAGGTTTCTTCTCTCTCCCAGGAACCAAAGACAGATGCCAGTCAAATCCTTTATTATGTAATAACAGCTAAAACAATTTTGAAAAAGAAGAAGAAGGTGGAGGAGCCCCTCTATCTGCTGCTGTGACTTATGCTGTAGCCAGTGTTACTAACACGATGTATGGGCAAAGGAATAGACACATAGATCAGTGAACAAAGCACAGAGCCCAGGAGGAGACCACACAAGTATGACCAATTAACTTTTGACAAAGGTACTAGGGCAATTCAGTGGAGGAAAGAGAGTCTTTTCAGGGCACAGTGCTGGAGCAATTGGATACCAATAGGCAACCCAACACCTCATATCGTTTATAAAAATTAGCTAAAAATGGATTGTAGATTTAAACATAAAACTATAAACCTTTTAGAAGACGATATAGGGGAAAATCTTTGGGACCTAGGTTACGGTGAAGAGTTCTTCAATATGACACTAAGAGTGCAATTTCTGAGAGAAAAAAAAATTGCATAAATTGGACTTTAAAGTTAAGAGCCTTTGTTAAGACTTTGTTAAAAGATCCTGTGAAATGATGGAATACGATTCAGCAATGAAAAAGAATAAAATAATGAATGCCTTTTGTAGCAAAATGTATGGACTTGGAGATCGTCATTATAAGTGAAATAAGCAAGAAAGAGAAAGAAAAATATCATATGATATCATTCATACGTGGAATTTAAAAAAAAGAAAGAAAAAGAAAAGACACTAATGAACTTATCTACAAAACAGAAACAGACTCGTAGATATAGTAAACAATCTTATGGTTACACAGAAAGGGGTGGGAAGGGATAAATTTGGGAGCTTGAGATTTGCAAATGATAACCACTATATATAAAAATAGATAAAAAACAAATTTCTTCTGTATAGCAAGGAAACTATATTCAATATCTTGTAATAACCTTTAATGAAAAAGAGTATGAAAATGAATATATGGATATATATGCATGACTGGAACATTGTGCTGTATACCAGAAATTGACACATTGTAACTGACTATATGTCAATAAAAATAAATAAATATTAAAAATTCAAAAAAATTAAAAAAAAGATCCTATGAAATGGATGACTATAAGCTAGAGACTGTGAGAAAATATTTGCAAACTGCCTGTCCAACAAAGGACAACTACCTAAAATAGACAAAGAGCTCTCAAAATGAAACAGTGAAAAAACAGGCAATCTAATTGGAAAATAGGAAGACAAAAAAAAATACATTTCACTGAGGAGGATATACAGATTGCAAATAGGCACAGAAACTATGTTCAACATCTTTAGCCATCAGGGAAATGCAAATTAAGCCTGTGAAGGGTTATTACTATATACCTATCAGAATGGCTAAAATGAAAAATAACGACAACACCAAGTGCTGACAAGGATGTAAAGCAACAGGGACTCTCATTTGTCACTGGCGGGATGTACAATGATACAGCAACTCTGGAAAACAGTTTGTCAGGTCCTTAAAAACGGAACATACGCTTATCCCCAGATGAGGTAACTGCACTCCTGGGTCTAAACACTCTGGGATAAATAATAGAGAAATAAAAATTAGGCTCACATTAAAAACATGTACATGATGGTTCATAACAGCCTTATTTACAGTAGTCAAAAACTGGACTCAACCAAAATGTCCCTTAACATAGGTGAAGCAAGTGTGGTACGTCCAACCACATCATGGAATACTTCTCGGTAACCCCAAGAGTAACACGAAGAAATGAACAATTGGTAGAGGGGAAAAGCCCATCTCCGAAAGGTCACATCCACCACGATTCCATCTACATAACATTCTTGAAATGACAACATTATGGAATCAAAGAATGGATTAGTGATTGCCAGGGTGGGAGGGTAGTGGGGAGGGTGAGACTATAAAGAGAGAGCACCAGGGAGGTCTTTGTGGGCATCTTGACCGTGGTGGTAGTTCACATGAATCAACATGTGTGATAAAATGACAAAGGGCAAAGCACATACCTTGAACCAATGTCAGATTCCTGGTTTTATATCGTATCATAGTTACGTAAGCTGTTACCAAAGGAAATGGGGTGGAGGGTACACGGGATCTGAATGGCCTTGTCACTTCCTGTGAGTTGCCCTTATTTCAAAATCAAAAATGAAAGAAATGGGGGGAGGGTATAGCTCAGTAGTAGAGTGTGGAGTGTGTGCTTAGCGTGCGTGAGGTCCTGGGTTCAACCCCCAGTACCTCCGTTAAAAATAAATAAATAAACCTAATTACCTAACCTCCAATAAAATAAAAATAAAAATAAAAAAATCAAAGAAATAAAGGATGGCAAAATTAAAAACAAAAAACTTCTTTTAGGAAAAAATTAGTAAGATGGAGTGTATCAGGGCCCGCGGTCCCCACGTGAGAATCACGGAGTTGGGGCGGAGGGGCCGGGATTGAGGCCTTCTCTGTGCAGATACTGTCTGGTTGCCTGGCAGGTGCCCCGATGAAGTTAGCAGCGCTTGCCCCAGAGGAACGCGCCATCGAGTCAAAGGGTACCGGTATTACGACATCCCTTGCCCCCTGCCTCCCACTCTCCGCTTCTCCCAAGCATCAGGTGCATCATGCATCAGGGCTGTCGGGCACCGGGGATACGATGATGAATAACGTGGAGGCCTCCTCTCAGGACGGACAGAGAAGGCGCTGGAAGGAGAGCTGTAGGGTCTCGGAGCAAAGGCAACGGTCCAGCTGGCGGACCTGGGGAGACTTCCTGGATGGCGGAGTCTTGAACTGGGTCTAGGGAAATGCGCTGGAACCAGTGAGGCAAAGAAGGGGAGGCTGGTCGGACAGAGCGGAGAGCTCGGGCCAAGGCTTGGGGGTGAGGTGGGCGGAAAGGGCTGGGCGTGGGGGGCGGAGGCAGATGCACGGCTGCGGGCGGGGCCTTCGGGGCGCTGGGGGTCTGTCTGCGGTGTTTGTAATTCATTCTGCCGTCTCGGCGAGGCAGTGACGGGCTGGAGAACGGCGTGATCAGATGAACATCTTAGGAGAAAATCTCCCTGGGCAGCGGGGAGGAGGCAGGTTGGAGGGGGAAGATCAGGGTCCGACCAACAGGGCTAGGCACACGACGGAGCGGTGGTAGGGGCGGTTGGGGGGGTGGGGGTGGGCCCTGAAGGAGGGCAGGCGGTGGGCGGGAGGAGGAGGATTCGGGGGAGGCCGACTGGGGGGCGTGGTTACTTAGCCGTGTAGAGGCAGCGTAGATGCGATGGTTCCAGAGGCCAGCCCAAGGCCCTCACCAAGAATCCCTGGAACTCAGCTTCCTCTTGGCTGCCAGATTGTCCCCGCCTGGACCCTGGGGCAGGGCGGACCCAGCCCCGGACTACCTCACAGCTTTCTCTGACCTGCTGGGCCAAGAGCCTGCTCACTGCTTGGGAACGTCTTAGTTTCTGCAGATGACTTGCAAAAGGGTCGGGCTTTTGGAGTGGGTACCGCAGGGTGCTAGCTGCCGGGAACCCCACCCCCACCCCCACGAGCTGCAGCTGCAGGTCCAGCTCCACTTAGGGCAGGTGCTCTCCTCCAGTGGAGTCCACGTTTGTGTGGCTGCCAAGCCAATATTACAGCGTCTACCCTTGTTCAGGACGCTCTCCCACTAGTAGAAATTTTGGCCACAGGCAACGCCTGTGTGATGTTACAGATGAGCGTCTCCCATGGGTACTTGTAGGGGACTGCCTGTCTTCTTCCCAGGACTCCTTGTAGGCAAGACGCTGCTTGATTCTACTTTGTGTGTCCCCAGTGTCCACGGCTGGCTGGCTCAGTGCTTGCCCAACGCTGGCTGGATGTTTCTCCCACGTCCCAGAACAGACCCACGATATGGGTGACACAGGATCCCAGACTGGAGAGAGGCCAGGGAGCATCCTGTGGTGTATAGAAGTGTCCAGAAGGCACATGTGAGAACCAGAGCTTTCTACGTCTGGAGAAATTGGAGTCCAGCCGGGGCGGGAGTGACCTGCTGGTGCAAAAAGATTTTGAGAAAGAAGAACAAAGGAAGTCAATTCTTTCCTGCACGGCCAGGACCATGGATTGAGATCTGTCCCCACTACCTTGGAATGCACATATTTTCAGCCATTTTTTTTATTTAAGGAAGCATTGTTGTGTATTGAATCGGACATTGTCAGCTGTTTACTTGAAATGAACAAAAACTATTATTATGTTCTGTGTTCTCCTCTGTAAAATATAAAATGTGAGAAACATGATTTCATTGCAAGAGTGATGCTGGCCACCTGCACTCTGTGAATGTGCATCACTGTCTGTCCTGCCACACCCCTACACCCCAAGGTCCACCAGTTAGAACTCAGCAGTGTCCTCAGTGCTCCCACCAGCTCCCTGGGTTGGGGAACTGGGCTGGGGTGGCAGAAGCTGGTTTTAGAAGCAATACAAGTCAGCAGGAGATAAGTGAATCACTCAAGGTCAATGGCATAACCGTAAGCCGCAGCATACTTCAGGTAGCGAATGTCAGTAAGGTGGGGAGGGTATAGCTCAGTGGTAGAGCACATGCTTGTCATGCATGTGGTCCTGGGTTCAATCCCCACCACCTCCATCAAATAAATAAATAAATAAATAAATAAATAAATAAATAAATAAATAAATAAATAAATACTTACCCCCTGCCCCCCTCAAAAAGAGAGGAGGTGACAAGGGTGGGGCATATGTGGAAAGACAAGGAGGCAGGTGACTTTGAACGAATGCAGCCTATTCACTGATAAGACCTCACCTCTGGTAGATCTCCATCCTCTGGTGCTGAGCGCCCCCTGAACTTGGGTGGATCATGCCCAGCGCCACACGCAGGGGTAACACCCAGCATCCATTGGCTGAGCACCTGATCTGTGCCCAGTCACGTGGAGGGGATCAGGGGTCAGAGCTAACCAGACCCAGTCCCTGCTCCTCAGGAGCCTCAGTCGGAGGCTGTAGTTCTCAAACTGGGTATCATGTCCACTTAAAGGCAACCACAGTTCCATGCAAGGGGTGGTCACTTCTCAACTTGGAGTCTGAGCAAGAAATGATTCTTCCTCCCCAGAGGAACATAACCTCTGCCAGCTCTGGTCATCACCAAGGCCAGGAGGAGCACAGTGAATGCTAGCAGGAAGAGTGAAGAATTGACTCCCAGAGTGCCTTCCTCCCACTATTACAGAATGACTTTTTGTTGGGGATGCTAGGTGTGTGAGAAAGGCAAGCACAGGACTCTGGGGAATACAGAGGCGGGTCACTGAGCTTTGCCTGAGTTTGATGGGTGGAAGAAGGCTCTCTGGAGGATATGATGTGTGTGCTGGGTCTGAAGGATGAGGAGGGGTCGCCAGGCAGCCTGATGAGGAATGAGGGCAGGAGAATTGGGTATGTGTGCGTATGTCCTCAGGAAGGATACAGTCAAAGCCCCAGTGCGTATTGGGCACTGAAGGGATGAGCCGGGCTCCTTCCACCCAGGTGTAGCCACAGGACTCTCTGGAGGTGAAACACGCAGATGGGCCCAAAGCAGAGGTAGGAGAAAAAGGGAAAGAAAAAGAAAAATTTGTCATGAGCTAAGGAGGAATCCGAATCAGGGGAAGATGTGGCTCTCGGCAGAATTCTGGTTGCTTCACATCTTCACCAACATCTGGTGTTGTCAGTTTTTTCATTTTAGCTATTTTGGGGAGTGGGTAGTGTCCGCTCATTGTGGTATTAATTTGCATTTTCCTAAAGACTGATGAATTTTAGCATCTTCTCAGGTGGCTTATTGCCTCTTTCTTTGGTGAAGGTTTTTTCCCCAGATCATTTGCCTGTGTTTTGTTTTGTTTCCCCTATTTTTCTTTTCCTTTTTTTTTCAATGGATTGTTTGCCTTCTCCAGGAGTAGTTTTTATCCGAGGGGATCACTTTCTCATTGTCCTAATGGTATCTTTAGAAGAGCAGACTTTCTAAATTTTGAAGAAGTCCCATGTATCAATTTTTAACTGTGGATTAATATTCAAATTCTAGATAGACCGAAATTTAGAAATTAACTTATTTCACCAACTCATGCTTGGACATTTAGGCTGTTTCCAACTTTTCACTGTTTCTCTTGTAAGGAATGTCATTGTAATTGTACTTTTAACTGTTTTAAGGCTAGTCTCAGACGCATCTTAGGAGGCCAGCGTTCGTAAGGCTTTTGTTACATGCCCTGAAAATGCTTTCCTGAAGGGTGCCTCGTATACTGTAAATGAAGCCCAGCTTCAAGGGACTGGCCAGTTCTCTCAGTATTCCTTCTGATGGCTGGCTAGTTTGTTTATAGATAAATGAAACTTTAGAAATGCTTAAAAACGTACATGGGCAATCTTGTTGGGACATTTTGTTTTGTAAACCATTTTTTTTTCCCAAGATAAGACCAAGACAATGATCATAAATCTCCAGTGAGCGTTTCCAAAGGCTGGACTCTTGCTTCTAGAGGAACTCAGGCATGATTTATTGAAGGAGAGTGCAGGGCGAAGGGCTGTTTGCTTTTCTGCACCCCTACTGACCCGTCTGTCAAGCTGGCAGAGGTCAGCCTCCTGTGCCTCAGCAGCAAAGAGGACCACAAACCAGATTAACTAAGAGACACTGCCCCTGATCTTCAGGGCAGGATGGCAGAATAGTTAACTGCCATTTGCCAAGGTCACTAAGCGCTGGGTTGGAAGCCAGGAGGTGAAGCCTAGGGACAGATCTCCATTCAGAAGATCCTTGGGGGGTGGTGCCCTCCCATATATGCAAATATCCCCTGCAAGATGACGGGACAGGCCTGGGAGAATGGACAGGCATTGGTCCTGAGGACCAGCCTGACCATAGGCTGTGAACTGTGTGTCCTTAGCTTCCTTTGCACTGTATTCTGCACTCCTATCCACTGGCTCTGTATTCAGAAGTCATGATTTGCCCAGGTTAGTCCTGGTTTAGGCCTAAGATCCCAGTGTAATTATTTTTCCCCCTTTCATGCAAAACTATCCAAGTTTCGGCATTTTATATTAATTCAGATGAACCAGGTAGAGATGCTCAAGAGAAACTCTAACTTAAAAGCACTTGTAGCATTAGGGATTCACCAGGGTTGCCTCTTAGAAGGTCAGGTTTTGGGTAGCTGTGTATTAGTCATGACAGTTGTGAGTGACCTCAGATTGGCTTTAGAAAGAAAAAAAAATGTGTTGGCTTGTTTAGCTGGATAGTGGGAGGTGGGGAGTGAGCAGGATTCTGGCATGACTGGAACCAGGCTCTACAGTAATACTGTTATGTCTGTCTCTCTGTCTCTGTTTCTCTCTCTGTCCCCGTCTCCCAATTCTCAACACTAGTCATCTTCATTTTCTAGGCAGGATCCTAGACATATCCCCTTCTGGTTCTGCTACAGATTCTTCAGCGTCCTCCCTGTCTGTGTAAGAAGTGAAGCCTGCTGTTCCAGGAGGAAGGTTTGGAGCTAGTCTGTTCCCCACACTGGAGATGGCCAGGTGCTAAATGATCCGAGCCCAGGACCCATCGGCTGCATGCCTTTGGGTCGACCTGTCTTCTCCAAGTTTCTCCAAATCTTCATCTACAAGAGAATGGCAAGGGGTTCTCCTGCTATCGAACACAGGATTACTCTGACAGTTGAAAGAGAATAAAACAAAAAGTCTTACTTTGTAAAGGACAGGATGAGGTTGATAAGAGCCATGGTGCCAGCTCTGAGCCTCTTACTCAGTTCTTGAAGGATTGAAGGAAAGCTGGCGCAAAGCTCTTTTGTCTCCCTTTGCTCGTCTGACTTTTTCATGGTTTAAAAAAAAATCATTTCCTCAGATCTCATGGCTCTGACACGCAGGCCATCGGGCGCGGCACACGCTCTATCACACTGTGGTTTTCCAACCAGAGTCTCAGGGAACAGTTTCCTCCTTTCAGTCTGTATTTTGAATAGCATTTCTTTCTGATTACAAGAAGAGTGCATGAATGAAGTTTGGAAAATAAAAAAGAAGAGGGAAAAAACCCAAACCAAACCTAAGCCGAACTGCTTCACTCAGCGAGACCGACCACATTTGGATATCATTTGGCGTTCTCCTGTTGTACAATTTATTTTTATTTATTTAAAAAAAATGAACTATAGGCTTTTTTTTTTGAAGGGGAGGTAATTAGGGTTTTATTTATTTACTTACTTAATTATTTTTATTGAAGTATAGTCAATTACAATGTGTCAATTTCTGGTGTGCAGCACAATGTCCCCGTCGTGCATATATATACATATATCTGTTTTCATATTCTTTTTTATTAAAGGTTATTCCAAGATATTGAATATAGCTCCCTGTGCTATACAGAAGAAATTTTTTTTTTATCTTTTTCAGTATATAGTGGTTAACATTTGCAACTCTCAAACTCCCAAATTTATCCCTTCCTACCCCCTTTCCCCCTGGAAAGAGGGAGTTATTTATTTACTTTTAATGGAGGTACTGGGGATTGAACCCAGGACCTTGCGCATGCTAAGCATGTGCTCTACCACTGAGCTGTGCCCTCCCCACCCCCGCTGTATAATTGAATATCCTGCATTATTTCATTAACGCCCATTACAGCAGTTCCTCATCCCAGACACATCAGGAGTGTTGTTTTGGTAAACATCTTATGTTCAGCTAGACAGGAGTTTGATCACTGTTGGTAACAGGCCTTGGGTATAGGCCAGGGGTTGGGCTGGATGGGCAGCCAGGTTGCTGTCAAGAGCGGGAGGGATGCAGAAGCTGGGGGGCCTGGGTCCTAAAAGTGCAGAAGGAAAGACACACCAATAACACGTCGGATATTGTCTGCTCATCTGATGTCTGCTCATGGATTCCTGCCTCGGTATTTTCACAGGTACCAGGCTCCCCTCCTTGCCCTGTCAGTGCCTCCATCAGGTTGTCAACGTCACTCCCTCAAAGGGCCTCCCACCTCTCCCAGCCCCACCCAGCCCTCCACACAGTGAACTCCAGAGGAAGGGGCTTCATCGCCCCACCGCTGGCAGAGCTGAGCCCAGGACGGTTACCTAGTGAGTGCTCAGAAACGTCTGGAGACTGAGGGAGTGCACAGACACGAACAGTAACAGCAACAAAAATAGCCAACACTCATGCTGTCAGTCTCGTACTATTATTATGTGATAAACATCTGTGTGACTAACACTTTGCTAAAATTGTGAGTTGTTTCCTGTACTTGGGATTGGAGAGTTGCAGAATATAGATATTTTGATGGTTCTTAATACACACTACAAGATTGCTTTCCAGAAATTCTGTATCTGTAGTACGTGAGAGTATCCGTCTCTCTGATTTTAAGTAACATAATTGAAAAGACGATTTGCTGACTTGGTGAAAGTCAGGGTAAGAATGGTCTCTCATTGATTTAACAAACACTTTTTCTTTTTCTTTTTCTTTTTTTTCCCTGCTGAAACAGAACTCTTAATATCCATGTCCTGATCATTTAAATCCCCAATTTTGTCAATTGTCCTTTTGTGCCATTTGCTCATTTATTTGTTGGAATATTAGCTTTTCTTATGAATTGTGAGGGTTCTATTTTATTTTCAAAAATGTTTCCCACTTTCTTCTACCTGTTAATTTTTAATGTCAACTTTCTTTTCAAAGTGGCAATAACTTAATTTTTTTCCTGAAAAGTTTATGTTTTTCCATCATAAAAACAACGGACTATCTCAGTAAAAAGTCAGATACTATAAAAAACTATAAAGAAGAAAGTAAAAATCTCCTACATTCCTACCGTTTAGACTTATAATAACCTTTTGGAGCACTTCCTTCCAAATTTTCATCCTATGTGTTAATGGTATTTTTTGAGGTTTAAAAAATTTTTATTTTTCCATACCCTCAAACTAGCACTTTTTATTTCAATACATTTTCCAATGGTTTTGTGCTTAGAAAAGTCTCCCCATTCCAGAGATCAGATAAAGAATTGCCTTCTTTAAAGAGATGTGTGTGTATTTTTTAGTTGTGAAAGTAACACAGCATATTACAGAATATTTAGAAATCAAAAGGAAAAAAATCAGTCATAATGCCTTGACCTATTTCCTTGTGCCTGGTTCTTTTGGTCTTTGATCATGAGCATTTATATTTATTTTTGTGTGGTTGAAAAGTTAGTGCACGCACAATTTCCTGTCTTCTTTTCAGTCATAATTATACCTAAGTATTATTTTCATCATCACTGGCAAGTGATATTTTGAAACACCGAAGTCCAGCCAAGCAGAATCTCCCCGTTCCCTGGGGGCTGACGGTAATACGATTTGATTTCTGCTTATTTCCTCCTTTTCTCCGAGGACTGCTGGAAGAAATTGCCCCTCGAAGATGGTTAGAATAAAGTGCCAAACATAAAATTAGAAGGAGAGGGACCATGAGGTGAAAGCATGATGAGCTTTCAGGCGAAAGCTGTCTTAGAAACCCAGGCTGCATGGTTTAGGTTTTGCTTTTGTAACTCAGGAATCGGGCCCAAATTTATCGTAATAATTTTGACAGAGTGCTTTTCCTGGGAGGCATTTTGGGGTATCAGCTGTGGGCTTCAGTACAGGAGAGCCTGGGTCTGAATTTCTGCTTATCCCTTGTGATTTTCAGCAGCTGTAGAGCCTCGGTCTGTCTTCCTCCGAAACAGGAATAATGCTAGGCTAAGAAGACTGAGGTGCTGAGCGGCCTTGTAATAAACCAGGTGGAGTAGCCAGAGAGATTGGGGAGGAGACTTCCCCGGGGAACCCAGGCTGAACCTTTTATTCCTGGGCCTCAGTTTCTCCATGTGTATGGGGGTCTTGGTGTAAGAGCCTCTCTGCTCCTCCCAGGGACTTCTGCCCTCACTCCTCCGGGGCGCTGGACACGTCCGGGCCCCCTCAGCACGGCCTCCAGGGCTCCCCTCTCCAGCCAACTTAGCCCACATCCCTGAGGAAACTTCCAGGGACATACCCTGTCCTCTGGGGCAGTGCTATGGCATCCTTGGGGAGGGGTGTGGGTGGTATGAGTAGACCCAGTGGACATTTATTAGTTTCAAACCAGTGTCATTGGTCTGTTGGCAAAGTTGTCACTGGTCGGTTAGCAATAACCTTATCTACTCTTTGAATAATGACCATTGATCATTTTTCTTCCAGCCCGGAATAGGAGACAACCCCAGGGATGGTGGCTGAGAGCCTGGGATGGAGAGTCAGAGATCTGGTTCCAGGCTTCTCGGTGCCATTATTTGTAACATGGAATAATAATAGCACCAATCGAATAGGGCTGCTTTGGAGACTGACTTTGAGATAATGCCTGTCGAAGAGGCACTGAGTGTACTGTTAGGCTGTTATTATAATAATAATAGTTATTCGCAAATTAGAAAACCAAGAGCCTGGTTGGTCTGGAACTAGGCACGGGGGACAGCTGACCGGAGGCGCCCGAGACCCCACGTCGAGAAGGGTGAGCCTACAGGCCAGGAGGAGGACGTGGGTCGACAGCGGGGCCAGAGGTAAGCCCCGGGGAAGGAGAGGGGGCTCCGGCGGCGCGCTCCCAGCCCGGGCGCTCCGATTTCGGGTTGCGCACCAATCGCTACACTTGATCTTTGGTTTTTGAAAGCACCCTTCTCCTCCATCTAGCCTCCTTTCCTGGGCTGCAGGAGGCGACTGCTTGGGAGGGAGGCGGGTCCGCGGCAGCGCCGGTCCCAGGACTGTCGTTGTAGTCCCCGCCCCGGGGCGGTGTCATCGGAGCCACACTGGAGTCCCGCTCGCCGGCGCAGCCTCGGCCACAGTGGGCGCCGCTCCCTCTTGGCCGGCCGAGCGGTTCCAAAGCCCGGAGTGGCCCTTTAAAAGGCAGTGTCTTGTCCGGAGGGGCGGGCGGGGGGCGCTGACCGCTGCTTGCTCGAGGCCCGGCCCCTCCTCCCTCTCCCCGCGTCCGTCCGTCCCTCCCTCGGTCCCCGCGTAGCTCGCTCGCTCGCTCGCCGGGCGCACGCTCCGCCTCCGTCAGTCGGCGCGGCTGTCTAGTGCGCGGCGTGGAGCCGGAGCCGGGGCCGGACGCGCGGCCGGGGCCGGGGCCGGGGGCTGGGAGATCGGCGCCCGCCACCGGGCGAGCCTGAGCCGCGATGGCCGAGATGGGCAGCAAGGGGGTGACGGCTGGGAAGATCGCCAGCAACGTGCAGAAGAAGCTCACTCGCGCGCAGGAAAAGGTGAGCGAGCCTGAGCCCCGGCCGCCGCGCGATCGGGACACCTGTCCTCGACCCCCGCACCAGGGGCTGGGCCTCACCCGGGGTCTGGCGCTGTCACCTGCGATCGACCGCTGCCAAGGGCCCTCGGGGGTCCGCAGGCTGCGCCCCCCCCGGCACGCTGGGTGCCCTGTCCGTCCGCGTCCTCTGTCTCCTCACCTCCGGCGGGGGCAGGAGAGGGCGCAGCTGTCCCCTTGTCCCCCCTGCTCCCCCCGCCGCCGCTCTGCATCTTCGCCGCACGTCTGCAGCTGAGAGACGGCCCACGCTCTTCTCGGGGCGCGGGGTCCAGGCTAACCTCGCCCTGGAGGCTGAGGCCCGGAGGCTGGGAGGCGAGGTGGCGCCCCGAGCCCTCTGGGACCACGCGGGCCGGGCAGGAGCTGGGGGGGAGGGGGCCTGTCCCTGGTTCCCCGGGTCGCTCAGTTCCGGGAATCCCGAGGTTGCCCCTCCGCCCGCGGGGCCCGCGCGCTCGCTCCAGGCCTCTGGGCGCCGCCTCCAGCGCCCGCCGTTCCCTCTTCTCCACCCGCCTCTCCACCTTTTTTCCCCGCGGGCCGAAGGAGGGGTCAGGTTTCCTTGCCCGAGAGGTGCCTGCGGCCTGGAAGCTTCGGCCTGGCTCCCGGGGAGCAGAGGGCTGCGCGTCCTCCGGAGGTGCCCTCACCCAAGCAGGGGCTTCGCGTTTCCGGCGGCCGGGGAGAGGGTGGCGGCTCTGGTTTCGGGAGCCCGCGGCCGCGGGGATGGCGGGCACCGCAGGAAACCCGACCCCTGGGCTCGGAGAGCGGCTGGCCCTGGGCCGGGGGCATAGAGCCGGGGCTTCCCGGGGCACCCTGACAGTGCAGGAAATGCAGGATGGGGCGGGGGCGGGGGTCCGCGCTCGCTCGGCTTTCTGTCCCTAGCTGCCTCTGGCTTATTGAGTTGGATCACGCCAGCTGCTGACGCCACTTCCCCTGCCGACGCCGACTCTGAAATCTGAGATTGCAGAATCTGCGCTCCAGCCAAGGTGGCCCCCCTGGTGCCCCCCTGACTGGGTCTGTCCCCTCTCCCGCCCGACACACGGCCCACGGCCCGTTGGGAATCCGGAGACTGGCTGGCCTTCCCCCGCCAGGCTTGTGGCTGTTTATAAACAATGACTTTTGCAGCTGAGACCTGCGGGCTCCCTGAGGATGCAGCCACGTGATGGTGGGGGTGGGGGTGGCCTGGGCGGCGAGAGCTTCCCCTGCTGCTCATCCTTGTGGTCCCGGGCTAAGGAGGTGGGCGGGTGTGCGTGGAGGGAAGGGCCGTCAGCCAAACTCCAGATCTGGCCTGCCCCAGCTGTCCTCCTCCCCTCCCCGGGGCTGGCCGAGGGATTAGAGCCCCACAGATAGCTGGCTGGGGCCTGGGAAGATTCAGTCGCCCAGGTTGGGAGGGGGGACATGCTGCTGCCCTTGTGGCAACCCCCCCCCCGCCCGCGCCCCCCGCCACCTCCCGTGACTGGTAATCCATTTAGGTGCCCTGGGCCTAAGCCTGCTTCCTGCCCCTAAGGGGCTGAGGAAGATGAATGGGAACAGCGGAAACAATTTCCCTGCCCCCACTCCACTGATGTCCAGGTTCTCCCTGGCTTCCCTTTGCTCTTGCTGTGTCCCCTTTGTCCTCTTTGCCTTGTTCCTGCAATGGCACCTTCCAGTAACTGCAGGGGCAGTAGGCAGCCATGGGCTGTATCCCCTCTGCGCACGTGTCGATGTGTCATCACTGACCCCACTAAGCTGTCACCCTTCCTTCTTTGGCCCCTGCTCTGTGGCCATGGGCAGTTGGCTGACAGCTGGTCAACTATGGATGCTGGCCTTGGCCAAGGGCTGGCCCTGCCGGAGCCTGGACCTCTGGGGAGCTGGTGTTGCTGAGCACTGCTGCTGTTCCCTGCCCCACGGGCAGGTGCTGATTGGGAGACCCTCCCCCATCACAATCAGAGCAGCGCCACGGGGTATCCTGGCTGAGTCAGGGAAAGTAGCCTCCTTTGTTGGCCTGACTGCAGTCCCCTTTCCAGGAAGTTTGACTCCTCTACACACACCAGTCTTTTCCCTGTGCCCTCCTGAGGCTCAGAGTCTGTGTGGCAGCCTGGGTACCCCTGACCTGGCTGCCTCAGTGTCTTCTGCGGCATTCAGGACCACATCTAACTCGCATGGTCCGTGGCCTCAGAGGCACTCTGCCCCCACCTCACCTTGGTCACATCTGTGAGTGATGGGGAAATTACAGTTGGCCCATTGGTATAGTAGGGCCTTTCCTGACCAGGGACAGGAGGAGCTTTGGTGGAGGTCCTAGGTCTAACCAGGTAGAAAGAAGGGTCCGATCTCTCTCTTCTGTTCCTCTCCCTCAATTTCCCCGCATCTCTTTTCAGCCCCAATATCTGCCTAGGCTTAGACGGACAGCATACTGGAGAAGGGTTGCCCTCTGGTGCCTACCTGTGGAGCCAGCCCTCCCGTCCCCCTGCTCAGTGTGAATCTCACCATGGGCCCTGGCTTGGTGTAGCCCGTCCATCTGCCGTCCTCCACCCCTGGTCTGGTGCTGCCTGTGGTGGGCAGATCCGGGTGTGTGCCCAGCGTTTATCTGGCCCCAGCAGGTGCAGAGTGACTGTTTAGGGACAAACGAGGGTCTTTGGGGGCTTGGCTGGGGAGACCTGATGCAGGCCCTTGTGTGGGCTGACTTGTGCTGTGTGCTGCCCTGCCTTCCCTGGTTCAGCAGATCCTGCCTGGACCGGTGTTGGGTTCCTGGTCCTGAGCAGAGCTCAGGGTGCCTTGGGGAACAGGGTGCACACAGCTCTGGCTGGCATGGGGATTATCGTTGTCAGGTCTTGTGGCCTCTGGCCCTAGTGTGAGGGGGCATGAGACCATCTGGGAGGGGTCCCCAGGGGCTGCCAGCCTGGCTCCATCACTGCTAGCCTCCCAGTCCCCGGCTGCCCCCAGGGCCCTCCGGTGCAGACCGCGTGCCTGGAGTTCGGACCCAGGCCCCATGAGGTCATCTTCCCATTGCATTTGGCTGATCGGACCCTCTATAAATGACTCTGTCCATTTTTGGGCCTCAGTAGGTGGCTGGGCAGAGCTGAGTTGGGGGTGGAGCCTGGGTCAAATGACAGAGGATTAGGGATTGGCGGGCTGGGTCTTTTGGGGGATGGGACTGCTGGGGAGAAGGGACAGCTGGGGTGAGGGTAGAATCTGGCCTGCTTGCCCCTGAGGTCCACTGCCCAGAAGTGCTCGAGGAGCAGGCAGGAGGGAGGCCGGCCTGGGCTGGTGGAGCCAGACCAATGAAAGGCACAGGGAGGAAGTCTCTCTGCCCCTGGTCTGCCCCCCACCACATCCTTGAGCCCTCAGGGGATGGGGAGGCGGGGCTTGGAGGGGCTGGGCCCCGGGGGGCTGTTAGTGGGCAGCCTAGCCCTGGCATGTCGGGGCAGATGCTTACTGGAGAAAAGGTGCAGTGGCAGTCATTTTATAGGACCCTGACATATGGCCACCATGGTGCCATGCTCATTTGCATGATTAAGGTTCTCACGCTGTAGCCACAGTGGTCTCCTTGGGAGGAGCCAGGCCTTTACCACCAGACTTTGTGCTTACAGCAGCCTTCAGAGTAGCCATGCCACACTGAAGGCAGGTGCCCTGGGAGCAGGGAGCCCACCTGGGCCTGCTAGAGGGCCTCTGAGGCCCCGGGCCCCAGCCAGCGGGACTGTCCTCCACCCAGATCCCACGTTGCCCTCCCCTTCATGGTGTCCACCTCTCTTCCCTGGGTGTCCTCTCTCTCATCTGCCCCCATGTTGTCTTTGCCCCAGTCTCTCTGTACCTCCCTGCCCTGGGTCCCTTTCCTCTGATCTTGCACCAGGTTTTCTGCCCTTCTCCCTGGACCTAAGTTATTTACAGAGATGGTGCCTCTTGCCAGTGCTGGAGGAAGGCTCCCCAGCCAGGCGTCCTTCCTGGGTAGGGTGTTCATGGAGGCTTGGTGGACATTTGGCTGAGGACTGTGGGCATGGGGGTTGGAAGCATGGCCTCCAGGGTGGGCTGGGGCCCAGGCGTGAACTGAGCTCCTGTTTTGGGCTCATGGCAGGGCCTCAGGCAGGCTCAGGCTGTTTTGCTCAGGGGCCTGCCGAGGACGGTCAGCTCCTGGGGCTGCCTGGAGCCTGGAAAAGGTGTTCCCTGAGGGACAGAACTGGGCCAGGGTGTGTGCTGGAGAGTGGAGGTGGGCTGGCTGGTCACCAAGAGAAGGGTAGGGTGTGTCAGGAGTGGTGAGGCTGGTAGACTTGGGCCGGATTTGATAAAGTCTTGAGTGATCTCTGTATCCCGTGTGCTCTTGGAGACGCTGAGGCTTGAAATCTTCACCTCCCTCCTTCTCAGATGATCCTGCCAGGGCCCCCTCCTCACCTTCACCCCCGGCATCCTCCCAGGCCCTTGCCCCTGGACTAGGAGATCTCTGCCCAGCTTGCCGCTCACAAGGCATGTGGATTGGACAGGCATGTGAGGAGAATGCTCTGTCTCTCCCTCCTGCTGGAGGCCCGGCCTCACATAGTTCTTTTTCCATGAAGTTCTAGAATCCCTGGGTCCTACCCTCGGCTGCAGGGGGGTGTCAGAGACAGAGCAGGTGTGTGGGCTCGTGGGCAGGTGGGTGGACAGGTGGTCCCCGGCTCCCCTGACCAGCGGGGACCCTGGGCAGGTTGCAGGACCAGCCTAAGCCTAGTTTCTTCATGTATAAAATGTGGATAATAATGGTTCCTCTTCGCTGGCTCGTGGAGACTAGAGCCTTGGACAAGGGCCCATCACAAAGCAAGTGTGATGACCTGCAGGCCTCCCTCCCCCACAGCCCCTTCTCTGGGCCTCTGTCCCTGTGAGTGTCCATTACAGGCCTCTATAGACAGCTAATCCCAGCTGAGCCCTGGACTGATGAGGGTTTATAATGTCCCAGCCCAGAGTGGTGTGTGTGCGTGTGTGTGTGCGCATGCGCGTGCCTGTGTCTGT